AAAAAAATAAAAATGAATAATAATTAATATTGTGTTCTAAAGTATTCAAATAGTATAGCTCGTATTTTAACCGAACCGGAAATAAGTGGGAATTTCAAACAATTTTTATTCACTGTAAACCAAACCTTGAACTGACTAAAGAAAGGGCGAACCTTAATCTTGTGCCTGAAAATTAAATATACTTTTTCTACCCATTTTTAGTGTGTTCAGCGTATAAATAAAATGCCAAGGCTGATTATAGGTGTGTCAAAATAACTTATGACAGTTCTTAAGGTTAGTTAGTACTTTACTTCAGTTAAAGCCGTCGCTATGAAGTGCTCTATAATATTACTTGGTAAGCGAGTTTACTAGAAAGATTTTATTTATTAGCCAAAGCTCAATTTTTGCTTTGCAGTTTTGCTGCTCTGTGAAGTCCAGCACATTACAGGGAGCGAGCAATCCTTAAAAATTGAAGAAAAATACGCGCATTCAAAACCTTCCTATCCGCATGACCCTCTAAGTTCGGGACACACGTTGGGACGGACACGGCAAACTGTGATGCGCACGGGATCGGACGGCGGCAGAACGGAACTGGCTAATGTGACGGAGAACTATTGCTGCTTTTGGGTGTATCAGGGTCACCCGGCGTTGCCGGACATCTGGGAGCATCGCAAGGAATATGCATTCGACTTCCTATTCAATGGCAAATTCGAGAAAAATCAGCGCAACTATCAGGAACGTCCAATAAATTGAACCATTGAACCATGTTTAAATTAAACCTACGGCACATAGTTTTGCTGACACATCAAATTATAATTAACTTTGTCCAACCAGAGAGACCTGGCCCGAAAGCTGTCTTCAAGCTGAAAGTCCTGACAGCACATAATAGATTTGACACATTATAATCAGGTTTGCATAGCATCAACCGCCCGACAGGCGGTCGGAGTCGTTGGCCACAGCAGGGCGCCGGCTCACCCATTGACAGGGCAAGCTGAAGAGCTGGCTGAGATGATGAGCAGCTGATGATAGCTGAGTGCCCGAAGGCGCAAAGATGCAGACATGAAACTTGGACTTATTCGGTCACTAAATTGCTCAACGTTGTTGATGTTGCTCCTCATGCTGTCTCTATTTAAAATAGGCAAAAAGGGTATAATACTTTTGTGGAAAGGTAAGCGACAAGCAGAAGCAAGCCTCTCTAAGCCCATAAAGTGTATAAATTGTCAAGTGAGCCGTGTTTATCTGCAGAAACACGTGTATCCCAGATACTAAAGGGACTAAAAACTTTAAAACACTGATAGCTCACTCCCTTTTCATGAAATCGATAACTATCGATTTTTAGATTCGTTTTTTGGGCATACTGATAAGAGCTACGGAACCCAAAATTTTAGTATGGTTGCTTGCTTCCATTTTTTGACCGTTGGGTGCCAAATTTAAAGCTTGAATTTCAAGATGCTCGGACTATAGATACCGAAGTTATTGAAGAACTCATTTGTTATAGTTTGGGGCTTGGGAAAGAAGAAACACAGCCGCAGCATAAAGTGCGCAGCAAGCGGCATGCGTATTTGAATGTGTGTGTCTATCTGTGTGCTGATGTATTAAAGAAACTTTTAATGTTTGCAACGGCAGCTCAGCGCTGGGTTGATGGTATCTCCAAGTCGGTCACTCCCTACTAGAGCACGTTCGCTTGTTGTTGTAGTTGTTGGACAGGAGTTCATCAACTGATAAGCAGGCAGGCTGTGTGACTAGAGCCTCATGTCTGGGCATTTACTTAGTTAATTAAATTCAACTTCTTTGAGTACTGAACAGGAGCTAGCGCAACTTGAATGCGGCAGGAGGCGCGCCGGACACGTTCTCCTCCTCCTCCTCCTCTTCCACTTCCACCTCCACCTCCATGGAGTTGCTTGGACTTGACAGAAGTTTGCACAACGTATTTGTTCATATCGTAGTTAAATTATCCAATACCCCAAAGTCTGTTTGCATTTAATCTGGAATTTTTCTCTCCGCTTTGAGTGGTAGTTGATAATTGCGACCGGTGCTCGAGTGCAACAGCTCCCAAGTCCAATTGCATAATTCAGCAGGCAAACTTGAGTAATTTGCTGCTTCAATGCTTAATGAAAATGCTGGGAAAAATATTGAAATTTTCTTCGGTTGTTGGCACCTATTTGCAAATAAACTGCTACTTCATATGTTGGATCTGTAAATTGCATTTGACTCTCAACTGAAACTTCTCTCGAGCAACACTTCAGCTCTGTGTGTGCGTGTGTTTGTGTGTGTGTGAGTGCAAACAATTCTCAACTGAATCGAATTGAAAATAATTCAAAGCTTCTAAGGCTCTTACAGACTAAAGTGTTCGTCGGCCAGGCTTGAATTTAACTAAGAAAGCATTGTAAAAAGGATATATTATATATACAGTTTGATTAGTGTAGTCTTTTATTATTATCCTTATACATTTGGGTGTGAATTCTGATCGATGATGCGTAAATCAATATATTACCCGGTGAATCCATATTATCGATATGCATATTTGATGATAGCAGCCCTGTCTGAAACGAGTTTTTTAATATATAACTTATATATATTGCTAGATTGATTTCAGAAGCAGTTAAATTTGTAAAATGCAGTAATTCTTTTAAATATTCGTTCTTAAATATACATATAAAGTTATTTATTTTAGACATCTAAAAATTATTCATGACACAAACCACTTAACGCACTCAACGCAAATAGGCGAACTTATCGATATCAGTGCGCACTTATCGCGAGCAGCTGCCTATCGATCGAACAGCTGATTTGCGTTTAGTTTTGCGCGCGAATTCTACAAGTTGGGGTTTGGTGTTGCGCGTGCAGAAATAAATAATTGTTTACCAATTTTAATAAGTGTAATTAACTAAAATTGAGTGTTTAAGTGTGTGTTTGTGTTTATAAATCATGTCTGTGTTGTTGGCAGACATAGACGCCACTTGCGCAGCGCTGGGCGTAAGCGATGACAAGCGCTATCAGGCGGAGCCCGATGCGGCGGAGGGTTTAAAGGTGGGCACAGGCGAGTTTTGGGGCAATCAGAAGCCACTTGAACTAATATTTCATTTATAATTATGCAGCATTTAATTTGGATATTGCGTCGTGATCTGGATAATCACGAGTATCGACGCCATTTGGGACGCGCCAAGGTGCTGCAAACGGATCTAGTTTACATGCTGCCCGACTATGTGCAGCATGAGGAGTTGGCGGATCTGCTGATACGACTGCTGGTCATATTGACCAATCCGACGCTGCTGCTCTATCGCGAGGGACCGCCCAAAGATAATCACGGGCGCAAAGTGTTCCTTGAGTTAATTGACATACTGCAAGGCTATAAAGTAGCCTTTGCCAAGGATAAAATCTGGACAGCATTGTTTGATAAGCTCAAACAAGCATTGGAAATTGTAAGTCATAGAACTTGTAAGTTTTTCAACAATTTAGCAATATACGTGTATATATATATTCCAAACAATTAATATCAAATAATCAAATGAAGAAACAGCAACAATCATGAGCACGAGCAACTCAGGTGAAGGCACCGGCAGTAGCAGCAGCGACACGGATGAGGAGGAGGAGTCCTTTGACAACAGGTACTACACCTGTCTAGTGTGTATGCGCACCGCTCGATTGCCGCGCGTCACCTTTTGCGGTCATGTCTTCTGCACCGATTGCATTGGCAAATGGATCACGTGGCAGGGCAGCTTCGCCAAGTGCCCGTATTGCCAGTCCCGCGTGGGTAGCAATACGCTGATCACTGTGAATCATGCGAGGAATGGCATGCATACACTTGGACGCTATACACGCTGCAAATCGATTGCACAGCATCGCCATTTTGCTGAATCAATTGCCATGTATGCAACGGTGCCGGAGACATCCATGTTTCTGGGCGCCTACATTGAGCGACCGCCGGAGCTGATGCCGCGCATCAAGCCTCTGCCGGAGCAGTTGTTGCGGGATGTGTCCAAGCGTCAAATACGACGCACCTTCCTGAATGCGCCTGTCTATCAGCGAGCCCTAATTGTGGTCATACTGTTTTATATGTTTGTCGTATATCTTAATGCAGACGGCCCAATATAAGAAATTTCAGATCTGTTCCATTTGTAGTTGAAATGTTGGAAATAGATGCCCAATATAACCTGTAGCATTTTCCTATTTGCCGTTAATTAATGCTGGTTAAATGGGACTATACAAGCGTTGTGGCTATAGGGGAAGCCTAGGCAATTAACGTCCTGGCATTTGCACAACTATTTCTCTGTAATCTTTTATGGACCTTACGACCATTAATGTGGCAACGGTCCGCGTAAAACTTTTAATGGCTCTCCTGCAGCTGCCAGGCGGACAAGTTGGAAAATTATCTTAATGTTCGCGCGAAGAGTATAACCATTTTGTCAAGAAATATGTAACGCATTGAAGAAGATATTTTGGACTCAAGGAATATATAAATTACAAGCATAACTATGTTAAGCAAATTAACAAAATATCTACATCGAATTTCTATATCACATAGCTGCTATATGAACAATCAGTTGCATATTGAAATTATTTATGAAATCTCTTATCCCCCTTGTTTTTAGTGATATTGAAACTAACCTCCCAAATTTAAAGCTTACAACAATTAAAAAGCTAAAAGCTGTCATAAATCGCTTTAAACCCAGGTTTTCAATATATCTTGGCAAAGGCGATCTTAACTA